CACATTGTGCAATTACGATTTTGAATTTAGCCATCAAGGAGCTTCAAGTAATGTAGGAATAGGCTATACGACCCCCGGTATCACCCCATATTTTAAACTTGCACCATGTTTTGCAGCTGAATGCGATGTATGTTTAATCACTGCTTTTCTTTCATCCCAGTTCATCTTCAGCTCTACACCTTGTCGTGAGGGAGACCAGCTTCACGTTCTCCAGCAGCGCGGAGGAGCTGACGGTGCCCGAGCAAACCTCCGTCTCTGAGCTGGCCGACAGCGGCCGCGGGAGCTGGACCTCCTGCTCTAGTAACTCCCACGACAGCCTCCAGACTCTTCCAAGCCAGCGAGCTCTGGACCTGCTCAACCATCGCCACACGCCCATGGGCGGCCCGATCGCCGAGGTGGAGATCGGCCCGGGTTTGCCAGAGGACAGCTGCTCCAGAGACGGATCTGAGCTCAGTCAATCCAGACAGAGCTGGACGTCCTGCAGTTCTCTGTCGGACACCTACAAGGGCAGCTACGGCACCGTCAAACGCAAGACACAAGATCAGCAAAGCACAGATGCTTCGTACAAGACGATCACGTCCAGTACAGAGAAGGGACTCATAGGTGAGCTTCAGCTTCTGCGTGTGACACCAGCAGATTTCACTGTCCTCTCATTAGATGATAAATGTGCAGCTCTTCTGGCTCGCTTGTGTCTTGTTAGCTCTAGGACACTTATATGAGTAGAGAGATTCACCCGGGACGTCCTGCGCTTTCCACAAAAAAGGCACAAACTGGTGTCACATAATTATGTGATATATTTAATCAAAGTCAAATATGTTTGTATGGAGCTTTTCACAAGACACATGGTTACTGCTTTAACAGAGCGAGTTTCAGTGCTGGCCGATATGACAATATATAACAATGATATTTGATATATTATATATATATTATAGTCAGGGATGCACATAAGTGGTGTGTTGCACTGGGTAAGTCATTTTAGATAGACTAACTGTAATACTGTATAGGATTTCCATTTGAACTGAAAGCATAAATCTAGGCTGCTGTATGGTTTCAGAGCAAAACTGTGACATTTCATTCACTGGCGCGCTTCACTTGGCAGCGCTAAAACCAGCAGCGCTTATACTTACTTGCCTGCCAAAATAAAAGCTTGCTGATTCTAGGTTTGAAAACGATGACTTTATTAAATAATATAAGTAAAGAAATATTTATATTATTGAATATCATTATCAGTAGCTATAAACTAGTTACTAGTCCCCACTGAGGAGCAACCCTGTGACACATTTGAGTGTCATTTTTACGTTCTATTTATTTCATTTTCTTCCATCAGAAATAAATAGAACATATTTTACTGCATAAGAACAGATGTGAGGAGCTCAGGCCGTGTTTTGTGCCCTGTTTGTGTCAAGCGGTCGAGGGTTAAAGGGATAGTTCACCCAAGAATGAAAATTTGATATCCAAAAATGAATATCTGCTTACCCACAGGGCATCCAAGATGTAGGTGACTTTGTTT